ACAATATTCACAAAAATCTTAAAATCCGAAAGAAAATGAAAGATTCACTTTAAATCACTAATTTAATCACTGGCTAGTATTCGTTCTTGAGAACTGTATCAAGAAACATATGCGTACCAAACCGAGATCAAAGAAGAACTGAGGCTTCCTTGTATAGTCAGCAGGCCCCTACGTTCCTAACCAACTTTTCGGCGTACTAAGACCAAGACAGGCTAAATGACCCTCCCAAAAGACTGCAGTGTTCATCAGCAATCGTTCAAGGACCGACAGCAGTGGCGCGCAAATGATGGCCTTCTGTTTCACATCTGTTTATAAGACCAGGCTAATTCGGAAAGTTGAGAAGATTCTACGTTCTTTTAGTTAAAAAATATTCCTTGGTATATCCTAAATAAGAAAATTAATTAAGTGTCACGGAATGATTTGAGAAAATTATTTAAAATAAAACCGAATTAAACAAAATTTTAATCTATGTTTATTTCTTTCTCTTTTAACTCGTATTTTTTCGGTAAACGAAAAAGAGCAATATTTTATATAATTATAAATATATTAAAATTTATATATATATATATGAGTGTATATAATTGCATGATTATCTGAAACTGTCATGTATTTTATATATTAAGAAAGCTGATCTGTTCAAGCGAGTGATAAAACATTCTTCATCTTCTCGTCTCTTATTTAAAAAAATATTATATTATATATGTATATTAGAATTTATTTAGTGCTTAATATACGCGATCATATAAAACTAATCCAATATATCTATTAAAATAACATGTTAATACGCAACAATTTTCATTAATACAAAAGTTTCTGTGAATAATTTAAGGGTGAGTCATTTTTAAGAATAATTCATTATTTTAATGATAAAAAATATCTGTCGATTTACAATTTGGTGTTTCATATTCAATGTATGCCCACCACGTTTTGTATCGCGGTGGCTGTGTTTTCGCATCTCAGTGAAAATCGTATGCGCTTGCATACGATATCTTACAATTCGTACACAAGTGCCATTTTTAACGGTAAATTTCCGAGTGCCATGTATATAAAATATAGACCCACCAAGCGCTCGAAGTTAATCGGAAGATTTAAGATGGGCCAACCTCTACCGTGTAAACGTCTCCGGAATATAGCACTGTAAATTTCCAGGCATACAGAATCGCAGTGATTTCTCTCCCCTCTCCCTCTCTCTTCTTTTCGTGGCGTATATATCGAAAGAGTTGGTAGTCTCAGTGGATTAGAAGAATATAAATTACGAACGGTTAGATAATTGGAAAAAGTATAACTTCCTCGCGGTATTAAATGGGATTGGATTCCGGACAGGGGAACAATGTGCCACTGTGGCACAGTATGAAATTTGCCTTTATCTATCGAGAAACGAAAATATTTTATACATTTTGTACTCAAACGATACGATATTCTATATTTTTCTTTGATTTCATTCATAATTATTTAAATATATTAATTTAAAATTCAAATTTGATAGACTCCAAGAAAGTACATATTTTTATGTATTTATATAGAGAAATTTCGAACGCTAAAAACAAAAGGTCATTTTTTATTATAATATAAAAATGTCTATTTTTATCAATAGAGACTGCCACGTCTAAAAATAAAAAAAGAAATCTTATTTAATCTAACATTATTAACAATTTTAAATAAAATTTAATTTAGTTATATAATAACTATAACATAATCATTTAATAGATATGTAGAATTAATTATCATGTCCGCATACGAGCTAAAATAAAAATATTTTTATCTTCCTTGCTCAAATTAATCGAAGTAGTGAATTTTATCTCTAACATCTCTGACGAAAAAGAATTCCGTCGATAGCTGAGTACGTCATATTCAATTACCTTGCGTACCTTTATTATCTACATTCGTAGGATATTCCTTCTTTATCTAAGAAACAATAACAATAAAGCAAACGATATAAAAGAGTAAACCTGATACCGATCTGATGTAATTTTTGATTTTTCAGATGCGACTAAAGCCCTGCCTCGTAACCTTCTATCTCCTGTTACTTTCGATCGTCTCAACCTATATTGCCCCTGCACTAGGTTCTGATATACTTCGTTACAAGGTAAGCTGTGTGTATACATTTATCAACATTAAGTACTATGTACTTTCATTAAACCGCATAATTATATTTTGCTGTTTTATTGTTTACATTTATTAAACGAAATTGTGTATGATTTATCTAAAATAAAGTTATAAGAAACACAATCAATACTAGAAAAATGCCTATTAGGGTCGAACCTGGATCTTCATTGCTTTAAATAATTCAATCTTGAATTACTAATATACACTATATATGTACTTGCAAGGTTATTCGTGTTATGTTTCGTATATGCATTTTTATTCACACGCACACACACACACATTTATAGATTTTTTAAAATTAAAATTATCTTAATTAAATTAAATCTTGATAAGAAGATTGAAGAGCGATCCTTAGATCATCAAAAAGCAATTCAGTAATCGAAATTAACAAGACTTTTTCGCATCCACATTTTCAAACTTAAATTGAACATAATTGCTGCAATTAGTTTTAATTAATTTTCTTGCCTTGCTGTCCGTATAATCGATTTTTAATAATCCTCTCTTTAACCAAAGGGTACAATATGAACGAAGTAAATCTTAACTAAGAAGGAATAATTAATGCTGTGTTTAAACATTACTTATGTTCAAACTGAAATAAATTCACATAAACGAAATTGGACGGAAGATTAATGGTTGAAATTAGGTCTCCTCTGAAAAGCTTTTCAGTGCACGTTTCAATTTCAAGTCGCGACACAACTTATCGCCCGATTATACAAATCCTTCACGTCTTCGCTCGTATTCTCTCGCCGTATTATCTTTCTTTCTCTTCCTCACGAACATTATTACTCGTATAAACCTTCATCTGAAAGCTGATGACCGTTAGATGAGTACTCTCCTTACAGCAGATCTCTTTGGCTCCACTCCAAAGTACAGACTTCTCGCGTAACTCTCATCATCCGATAGTGACTATAATCCGCTCCCCTGTCCCTGCTATCTATGGACATTTATCTGTGTACATTGACATTGCGCTGTATTTACCTGAGTGAGATCGACCGTTGATGCACTCGGCAGGGTAGAAGGGTGTAACTTAGACTGTGACTCGATCCGGAAACCATCGAGTCCGCGTAACCACCCCTTGTTTCCTCGCGCTCACATTCGACCTCCGGTAACTCGAAGTGATCGAAATCGTTGAACGACGAATAATTCAAGAGATGCTTTGAATATTTCCAAGTCTTCGAAGACCATGAAGAATGCGATGCAGCTTGCTAAAAATAATCGACTTGAGATTCCTCAGCTGCCAGTTGTAACGAGATTACGCCGTTAAAAAACGTTATCTCGTTGCGTGACATCTTGACGTAATATATCTCTGATATATGATATTCATCATTTTCAGCGCTCGAGACATCGTTATTTTACGGTGGACTACAATGGCGTGTCGCCGGACACCGAGAGTCCTCCATCCACCACTCCGACCTCGACGGACGACGAATCCGCAGACTCGGAGAACCGGCACATCCACAAGAGTGCGTAACCGCTAAATCCCCTCTCTACATATATATATATATATATATATATCAATTAGTAATTCGTATGTCGTTGCGCCGTTCGGGAAGTTTAATTAAACTGTGTATCTCCGGTCACAATTCGCCGGGATCGTACGCGTTTACCTCGTAGTCATTAAACCAGTCCGTACGCCGCTAAAATTGTATAAAGCACCAATCCTACAATCAACAAGATCGCAATGACGTAAAAAAACGCGCACATAGCTACGAAGCTGCGAGAATTGCACGCATCGCAATGCGAATAAAAGAAGGGTGACACGAGAGCAATATGATTGGAGCATGTCAGAAGAATTCTTTTCATGTTGTATCGTTTGTATTGTATGCACAATGCCTTTCTTTTTAACGTTTATATATATATATAGAGCTTACAATTAGTAGATATTTTTTACACATTAATATTTCACTTTATATTATATTCTGTCAGATTAAATTTTCATACCGCTTGCAAGAGAGTGTATTTTGAAATCAAATCACCCGTTATTTAATATGCCCATCTTATTGACTCGGCGATGATAAAACTGTCGCGAATCGCGTAATATGAAAAGAGAATATTGGGTGATGGGAGAGAGGGTGGAATATATTTCTCCCGAAATGATTCGGCAGTTATAGCAGTAGTATTCTAAGGTTGCGATCTAACAGAACAGGATTGCGTAGAGTGATTTATTGCAACAAGATAGAACGGTCGCATTACCTAGGATGATCGGCAATTTTATCGTGAATGGACGCGTGTATTCGCAAGGTATTCCGTTTTCGCACATATAAGATCTCGCCATCAATCGCGCGCGCTTGTGACGTACGGCTGACGGGAAACATTCGCGGGCCGGCCGCATATATTCAAGGGTTGCGACCCCGATACGCAAACATAGACGCCCGTAGAGCATTTCGCGGGGGGGGGGAGGGGG